GGGGGGGGGATTTTAAAATCAGGAGCTTGTATATAAGGATGTAAAAATGGAAGGTGACTTCTTGTCCACACGAGTGGCTTTTTCATAAGAGCCAAGAGCTATTCTGTAAGTGGAGACGAACATAAATTACAGTTTGAGAGATCACCGAATTCCTGTGAGCTGTAATTGAAAAATGCAGAGCTCCCAGATGCCCAGGATATCTTTTTTCCAGCTCGAATAGTGTTAATAGTGAGACCCAGGGTGAGTGACTGCTTCAGCCTTTGCACAGCAAATGCTCTCCGGTTCGTTGTAATGCCATCTTCAGCCAGTTCGCCCAGGGGCACCATTGCTTCACCTGTCTTGCTAGGTACAGGCAGAGGTATGGGAAGGAAGGAAAGCCGAACCCTTCTGATGGCAGGCAAAGAAGATGCCATTTAAAACCGTTTATTTTGAACCATCTGGTCGTGCGTGTGCTGGGGACAGTCAAGAATGGGCCGAGGGAAGGGGTGCGGACGCCTGCGCCTTCAGACCTCTGCTTGGGAAAACTCGAGCGCCGTTCACGCTCGCCTCGAGGGGACAAGACCTTTGTGGTCATACCTCTTTTATCTCATTGGACTTGATGGTCTGAGCCCGAAGATTAGGAGGGCTGAGCCCGAAGATTAGGAGGGCTGAGTGCCTTGGGGCAATAAACTGCCTGGCAAATGCTCCAGCAGCAGCAGATTCATCCATCGTTAAAAAGTAACGCCAACGAGCCAACCAGGATGTTGCTCGGAAGATACGCTGTAATCCACTCGATCCATCCTGCAGGTCGAGTCTGACCTGGCATGGGGCTGGGCATTCCCGGGGAGGGGCGAAGGTCTCCAGCACCTGATCGGGTGCTCAGGACCTATCAGGGCTGGAGTCTTTCTCGGAATAGACCATTCAACAGGACGGAAAGGAGCAATTCTCACCCTTGCTTGGAACAACCCAATCAGCGTGGAGGAATTGCTTGGAACAAACCATTCAGTGGGGAGGAAGGCTGCTCTTCCGAACCACGTGTTTTAAGCCTATGCGAAAGTATTATTATTTGCCTAATGAACAAGCACAGTTTTTAAAACGGTGAAGTAAGCACCAAACTCCTGTGGTCTTGTGTGAATGAGTGATGTAGTCGCGCGCAAGAGCTTGTAATGCTTGAAGTTGCATTTGGTGTGTCAGGTTCCCTCCAGTTTTAAATAATTTCTATGAGTAGAATGAGATTTGATTTAAAAACAAAACAGAAATATCTCTAGAAACAAGACATTGATAGTTTACAGGGTTTTGTGAGTTTAAATGCCTTATATTTAACAATCATAATTTATGACTAACTTGTAGATATTGTGGGTTCTTATTTAATTATTTTTATAGTTGTTTTTTGCATTTTTAATTATAATTTATTTATTTAGAAATTAATACTAATTTTTTTTATTACTCCTATTACCTCATTTTTGCATTGTTTCTGGGAATGGAATGCTTTGCATGCGTTGGTACTTTAAAAAAAACTTAAACTGGGGGTGTGGGGGAAAAACGCTTATCTTGTCAAAAAAAATCAGGGTGTGTGATTACAAACTGTATTACTGTGGTGCTGTTACCTTGGATACATTCCATAAAAATGCAAACCTTTGATTCTGTATGCTGTGACATAGTGGAAAACTGCAATATAGTGACTGTGTTTAGCACATATATATAAATATTATTTGCACTCATAAGCAAACTCTGGTGATCCTTTCACTCATGCCTTTATGCATTGGAGGAGGTATGAATAGCACTCTAGAGAACCAAAAAAATAGGGTTTGATGCCACAAACCCGACTGAGTAATGAATTGTGAGTTCCCTGCTCAGAAGGCTGGCTGGTTTGGGACTATTGTAACAAAATGTAGACCTAGGATTTGAGAGCAAATCACCTTGGTGCAATTATCCCCTTTAGCAAATGAGCCTGTACAGTCCATATTCATCCCAAGTGGTCAGCGGTCGTTATTAAAAATTGGTGTGTGCCCTTACATGTAATTACACATGTGCATCTGAGCCACCAGCCATTTCTGCAGCCCTTTTTCTCATGGATGGACCTGTTGAAAGTGCGGTAATGCTTGAAGGAGTAAGAGCAGCACTGCCGAATGGAGAGAGCGCTGTCTCCAGTGCAGTGGTATGGAGGCTGCTGACATTATCTGCATGATGGTGGTGTCTCATGGTAGCCCCCAATGGAAATTGAAGTTCAGTTGTGTCTGGAGCTGTACATATGTACAGTGGAAGACCCTCTGGTCCAAATTGCTTAAGCTCTAAATTGGTAAGAGATTCTGGGAGGGGAAATGGGCACAGAGATTGTTTTTTCACAGCGACCACTTTCTGAGAGATCAGTCTGGCCTTGGCTATACCCTTCCCTGTAAGCTAACCTTTTGTGGCCTTCTCTTTCTCTGTCTCTCCTGTATGAGGTATATCTGCATTTGTGGGTGGTCGTCTGTCCATCACGCTATGGATCTGACCTGCTAAGCATTTCAGAGGGGACAAATAAGGCAAGTTGCTCAGTTTCTCTCTCCAAGGTGGTAAAACCAGGTATTAAGGGCAGGCTCTAATCTTTTGGCGCATCCCACGTATGGGAGTTTCTTGACGTTGATGACTTCAGCTGGAGGTCATCATGGGGAGCAGAATAGCAACGGGCCTGAGACCTGACCCATAACAGGAGATGCTCTGTCCGTATTTCCATAATTTCCCAGCTGAACTTGTAGGTGGAATTGGAGTGCTTATTTATTATAGATGCTTTTTGAACGTACCACTTTGTGGTTTTGCTGTGGCATCAGGCTGCTGCTGAAGTCCTGAAGGCACGCTGGGGCTGGAGCCCTTAGTTGACTGTGCCCCAGTCTGCCAAACAGACTAGGGCACCGGGCAAGCCGGACTGTGTGGAAGGACCATGGCATAGAAACATCAGTTGTTTCTGTGCAGAATGTAGAAAAGAACTGGAGTAGAAGGTAAACTTTTCCCTTGTAATTTTACGTATTATTGTTCAGAGCGGAGCTGCGGCTTATGAGCTCAGAACCCAGCACAGTTACACATTGCCTATAGACCCCAGGGAATGATTAGTCCTTAATACCATAAAAATGATGATTATATTTTGTATTACCATAGCCC